TGGCCGGCCGAGGAGGGACCAGATGCTATTTGTCAAAGGTCTCTGTGTTCCCGGCAATGTTTGGGCTTTGAGTTTTCTGCGTGGGGGTTGGGAGGGACCCTTTCTCAGATCGTCCGCCACCACCTCGCCTACAGCCGGTACAGCCCCTGGGTCACGGTCTGCACTCTGGTGGTTGAGTCTCCTTTGCTGACCTTCAGCTGTTTGGTGCTAGGAGGCGGATTCGCTCTCGGCCTCTGCGGCAGGGCAGGCCGGTGGGTAGGGAGTCATTCTTGGTGGTGACCTGTCTGAGGGCCGAGGTGGTTGTTTCAGATTGTTCTACGGGATGTGGGAGAGCAGCCTTCCGTCCTCCGGCAGAGGCTGGCCGTTGCCCACGCACAGTGGTGCTGGGGGCGGGGTGGCAACGTTGGTGTGGGTGATGGACAGACGCTGGGATAAGGAGGCCGCCAGCCTGGGTCCACTCAGGGGGCCCAGGCACCATTGCCCACGTGACTCGGTGCCGGCCAAAGTCTGCGTTTGGTAAACGTTTGTTGAATGACGAATTAAACAAACGGGAGTGCCTGCTTATGTTAATGCCGGTGGGGGGCCACCTGTGTGGCATTCTTGGTGGAAGAACTCTAGGTGAGGGTTTCCCAGGGTTGCTGTCCAGGCTGTGAGGTGGTGTGTACAGGTGCCTGCCTCATACCCCATGGACCAGGGTGGGCATGAAGGGTCCCCATGCGCCCACCCACGAGGACTTTGCTATCCACACTGTTCTCAGCAGTGCCCATGGCACTAACTCATGGTGGCCCCGACTGATGAGATCATAGACAGCTGTTCTCGTTGTAAGCAGGGCCCTCAGGAGGGCCCCCAGGGCTGTGCCCGTGGGGTGAGGCTTCGGATATCGGTACTCACTCAGGAGGCATACACACGGGGCCATGGCCATGTGCAGTGCAGTGCTCTCTTCAAATCAGTGAGGCAGCCCCGTAACCGTCCTTATGAGGGGATTGGTTTTCACATACGAGGCCAGGGAAAGCGTGGTGAGTGGTTGACTCTGGCACCTAAGTCAGAGGAAGGCAGGATGTAGGATTAGTAAGAAGATACATATATGCACTGACTTCTCACTTAACGTTGCCTGTAGGCTCTGTGACTTTAAGTGAAACTACGCATACAGAAACCAGGCTTACTCTAGGGGAATTGATATAATCAAGACTTAAGTTCCTACAGCATCTCACCATCGTTATAATGAAGTGGCGTTGAGTGAAATGACATTTGAGGACATACGTGCCATCCCTGTGCCCTTCCCCCGGGACTCGATGCTGACAGTTCACGTCAGGCCGTCAGTCGGCAGACGCTGGTGAGCTGCTGCACCGCGGCCCTGGGATCGGGAGCTGCGCGAGCTGGAGCCCCGCCCTGGAAGGAATGTGAAGGAGGGACAACAGTTTCGGGAGGAAGGGGGTAGGAGAGATTAGGGGAAAGCAGGTGGGGACAGACCTGGGGCCAGATCTCAGTGTATAACAGCCTGTTGGAACCCGTTCTTGCTTGTAAAAGGGAGTAAATCCAACAGTAGCATGTTCCATTTCAGTTGCAGCGATGGTCTGGGGGAGCGATGGACACGGAGGAGGGCAGAATTAGCCACTGGACTGGGTTAGCACTTCTGGGTGTGAGGCTTAAACCCCCAGCCTCACTGTGGACTTGCAGATCCTGGGCCTCTGGCTGTGGAGAGCTGAGTTAGCCAGGGGGAGGCGTGCCTGTGCCTGCATCTCTCCGACCCTCCCGGCGGCTGGCTCACTGTGCCCGCCGACCCCAGCCCCCAGCACGGCAGTGTGTGCTGCTTGGGGCAGGAAGAGCTCCCTCCCGGAAAGGGCTGTTACCTTTCTTTACCTAATCCCCACCTTCGGACCTAAGTGATCATGTACAGACCAGATTTATTTTCCGCACCCAGAGACCAGGAAGTGAGAACATGCAAATGGATGCATCTGAGAGAATCGAAGAGTAGAACCAAAAAGGGGGGGCACTAGGGATCGTGGACCTGGCCCCGAAGCTCGGTTTTGTTCCACGTGATTGGCAGTGGCCGAGAGTGCTGTGTTCAGAAGGACCCAGAGGCCTCAGGCCGGGCTCGGCAAGAAAGCGGTGTGATTGGCCATGTCTGCCATGGACTGGAGATGAGGAAGTCAGGGAATTGTCCAGCGCTGATCTGACCCAACCTGCACGTTTTAGAGCAGCTGTTCTCAACCTGTGGGTCGCGACCCCTTTGGCGGTCGAACGACCCTTTCACAGGGGTCGCCTAAGACCATCCTGCCTATCAGATATTTACATTACGATTCATAGCAGTAGCAACATTACAGTTATGAAGTAGCAATGAAAATAATTTTATGGTTGGGTCACAACATGAGGAACTGTATTTAAAGGGCCAGAAGGTTGAGAACCACTGCTTTACAGGTTGGTGTGGCTTAATTGACCGCCTTGCAGCACAGCACGTGTGCTAACAGGTGGTTTTCCTTCTGTGGGAGCTGAATGCTGCAGACATCTGTAGCCTATGTGCAGCTTAGATCAGCATAAGTGAATTCCATTTCTGCTAAGAAAGACGGGGTGAGTGTCTCTGTGTCAACACTCGGAAGCAGGTAGTAGAGGAAGTAAGGTTTTTCTTAGATTCAGCCGGTAGCTCAGGCAGTCGTGGGATTCCCCGAGTTGTGAGGTTGTGGGTAGATGATGTGGAGGGTGCCTGATGTTGCCTAACCTTCCCCCACCCGCTGTGACTCATTCAGCACCGAAATCCACGTTGCTTCCTACCCTGCCCCCCATTTCTCACTCTAAAAACCAACTCTAGTAAGCAAGCTTAACCACAGAGCACTTATTTATTTAACATACTTTATTGATTTTTTACAGAGAGGAAGGGAGAGGGATAGAGAGTTAGAAACATCAATGAGAGAGGAACATCGATCAGCTGCCTCCTGCACACCCCCCACTGGGGATGTGCCCGAAACCCAGGTACATGCCCTTGACCGGAATCGAACCTGGGACCCTTTAGACCGCAGGCCAATGCTCTATCCACTGAGCCAAACCTGTTAGGGCCACAGAGCATTTATAATTGGACAAACACCATGTTCTCTTACCTCTGGGCCTTTGCATGGGCTGTTCCTGTGCCTGGCACGCTCTCGCTCACCTACCTCCTAACCTCTCCTCCTCACTTTGGGTCTCAGCTCAGAGGCCATTTCCTTTAAGAAGCCTTGCCTGACTCTCACTGCAGACTCCTGTCCTCCTTCCAGGTTCCCTCGACATTTTTCAGATTTTGTTCATTGTTGATTTTCTTGGTCTGAGCGCAGAGGACTGTGTTGATTACGACAAAGCTCCCAGCGGCCAGAGCACATGGGTGCCTGGAAGGGAGCTGTGTGTAGGTTTGTTTCTTCTTTGACTGCTTAACTGTGTCACTGAGCCAATCTCATTGGCAGGGACCCAGGAGAGAGTCGTATGTATGTTTTGAAACTATTCAAAACCCACAATCTGGTAGATTGATGAAAATAGCAGTTCTTCTTATTCCTGAAATTCTGTGAGAAATTGGGTGTCAGCCTCCCATGAGAAATGAGGGAACTTGTGCTGCTCTCTCTTTCTCTCTTTTTTTATATGTTTCATAGGAATCCGTGTAGGGATGAAAATCACAGGATGCACTTGTGATCAGCACGTTTTTATTCACTCAGCCTAGTGAGAACAAGCACAGCGCTGCTCCCCCGGAATGAAGATTTTTCTAAAATTAACTCTCCACCTAGAAAATCTTTTTCCTTCCTCTGTTATAAAACTCAGCAAACAGGAAGTCCATATTTTTCTAATGGTGCGCTGGATCAGATTTAGGTTTGCCTTGATGCCTGCTGGGTGCGAATGAACGAATGAATGAATGAGCGAGTGAATGGCTCGTGGTTGTCACTGTGTGTAACTGCAGGGTGCCAAGGGAGCAGAACCCTTTGCTCTTTCACTGAGCAGCCTCAGACTGTAACTTTGAGCTCGTGTATGTGTGTGTGTGGTGTGCATGCAGGGTTTCTGTTCTCCTCCTTTTTTATGCTCTTGCTATCAGCAGTGAGCCTGTGCAATGCTTGTTCCCACTTTCAATGCTGTCTTCCTCTGCTGTGAACAGAATTCATAAAGATTCCCTGTATGAACTCTGCCTTCTGTGTCCACTCTTCTCTATTCTAAAAACACTGGCCACTAAGGTGTTGTTTAGCATCACTTAGACCAGTGGTTCTCAACCTTGGCTGCACATTAGAATCACCTGGGAATCTTTTTAAAATCCTGATTTCTGGGCCTCATCCTCCGGAAATTCTGTTTCTTTGTTATGGGCTGGGGCCCAGAAATCAGGATTTTAAAAAGATTCCCAGGTGATTGAGAACTACTGCCTTAGATTAAAGCACTGAGAAACGGAACCTCTGGGAGGGGATTGGTGGAGTGAGTTTGTGGCCTTTGTACGCAGTACAGGTATGAGACCATCACAAGTGACACGTACATGTTGTCGGGGTTTTCTTTGGAATGCTTCAGCCGAACATTGATACTGAATTACGGGGAGGAGAAGGGTGGGATAGATGTGCAGGATGTTGATAACTCGAAGCTGGGGGGTGAATCCGGGGGCTTGTCGATCTGAAACGTTACACGAGGAAAAGGGAGCGTTGTATGCAGCCTCATCTTCGAGCCGACGCAGTGTTTCCTGTGGAGACGCCTCTCTGCCATTGGGCTTTGCTTCCCACACACACTAAGAGATGCTGATGTTGAAGTTCGTGGAGCATCATGGGAAGGAAGATACTTACGATATATCTGAGTGGAAAAGGACCACAAATAGTTATGTACAGAATTCCCATTTGGCTTAAATAATATACAAGCCCATATGTAGAAAACAGATGGAGTGTGTACACCCAGGTCGAAATCACTGGGTAGAGAAACGATTTTTGTTTTTAGCTTTTCTGCAGCACACTGGTATGTCACTGGTGAGATACTGTGAACAGACGAGTCTAATTAAATCTGTTGCTCTTTTGATTTAGGGAAGAGTATGGAGGAAATTAAGAAGGTGCTGTTGCTGGTGCTGGGCTGTGCCGTCCAGGTATGGCGTGGGCAAGGGTGGAGGGGGCCTGGCCTTAGCCACCTTGTGTGTGGGTTTGTGGGGATGACTCCCCCTTAGTGAGTGAGGTCGGAGGGAAGCTGACACGTCCCAGCTTCTCGAGAGAAGGGAACACTCAGTAGGTGGCAGCCGATTCTATACCAGGACACCTTTGGCAAGAAGCAGGTGGAGATTCCTCAGCCCAGGGTGCCTTAGCAAATCGTCCCCAGTATAGGGACACCTAGAGCAGAGAGCAGCAGCCACACACAGCCTGGGGCCGCATCTGACCCGCCCGTCTCGGGAAATAAACGTTTGAGGGAACAGCCCCACTGGTTCCTTCCTGTACCGTCTCTGGCTGCTCGCACAGCAGCACAGCACCAGGCAGGGCTGAGACTAAGTGGCCAGCCGACTCTGAGATGTTTTCACCATCCAGCCCTTTGAAGACGTTTGTCGCCATCTGGCTGAAACCAGGGGTTCTTGATCTTTCCTGGTTTAAGAATCACTGGAGCTTGGTTAACGTGCAGATTGCTGTGTTTCATCCCCCCTGTCTTCAGCCGGATGGGGCTTTTTAAGAACAAGGACCCCAGGTGACTCTGATGTAGGTGATCGGAGCAACTTGTGATCTAGAGAAACCTCAGTCTAAGGAGCGGTGGGGAGGACAAATTCTTGGTTACAGAGGAGGGAGCCAGGGGCTGGTGGGCAGGTCGCTTGGAACCTTTCTGTGGCTGTGGTGGGCTCAGGTTGCCTCACTCGCAAAATGCTTCCATAACACGCGTTTCCCCGCAGTGCGAGAGGAAAGAGGAGTTTATCGACAGAATCAAACAGCTGGACATCGAGACCCAGGCCGGGATCGTGGCCCATATCCAGGAGGTAGGTGTGTGGCTGGCTTTGTGGGGCTCGGCTGTGGACCCCCCACTCCCGTGTCAGCCAGGAGGCAGGCTCTCTCCACCAAGGAAACGTTGAAAGACTACATCACCCATTAGCAATTTTACTGATTTTAGGTTTCAGATACCACAGAAATATTGAACCTGTTTGGAAAGGTAGTCATCAGCAAGCTAAAAGAAAATGGGGGTAAAAATTTGAAAAAAAAAATTTTAAAAATACCTCAATCAAGTCTTCTTTTGCCTCCTCTTCTTGCCTAATATGGACTCGGACTATTTTTAAGTGCTGTCAAGTGGTTTGGACTCAGAACTTGATTTACAGGCCCTGAAAATATATTCTGGCAAATGTTGCCCTGCCTCACACGGTTGATCATCAGGGAGAAAGGTTCTCCGTCTCTGTCAGTGACATGGCAGAGAAACGGGCGGCCACCCCTTGGGAAGGGAGAAACCACCAAGTCCTAGAAGGGCTGTCGCTGTCGACTCGGCCCCTGGGGTGGGGTCGGAGGGCTCTGCACCGAGGACAGTCCCTCCGCCATGGAGCTTGGCCGAGGTGGTCACATCCAAAGTGGTTTCCCTGGAAACCGGGCCTGTGGGGGCAGGCACCGACCTGGAAGTGTATTTCCCTGACATCCTCCCCGCCTCCCTCCAGAAGAAGCCTATACTGTTTTTTTTAATTATCTTAGAAGTGGTTCAGCCTTCAGTCTCATTGGACAGATGAGATGAAGGCATGAAAAAGACATGAGCAGTAGATAGGAGCAGCAGGTGTGTGACTGGCAGGGGCAGCTGCACACAGCTCCCCAGGCCGGTACTGGGGACAGGCCGGGCTGATGGGTCCCCAGCCCCCAGGCACCATGGGGTGATGGGCTCTGAGTCAGCGCTGGAGCCGGAGGTGGGAGCGGCTTGCAGTCGAGGGGAAATGAGCATCATCGTAAATGCACTTAGCCATTCGAGACGGTGAGTGGCCACCTGTTAGCCTGAGAACTGTTCTGCCTTTTAATTTTCCTTGTGTGTCCACGGGTTTTGAAAATGTGTGTGTCTGGAGACTAGGTCTTTGCCACTCGCCGCCTTCCCTGCTCAGCCAGTAGGATATTTACAATGAAAGGGGGGTGCGATTCAGCCAGTGGAGTCCCGAGTGATTACACATTCAGGGCTGGCTGTGGGGACTGGGCTTCCGAAAACACTCAGGGGCCCGGCCCCACAGGAGGCCCACGGAGGCAGCATGGGGGGGGGGGGGGGGGGGGGGGGGGGCAACATGAGCCTTTAATAAAGCTGCTCGTGTGACCGATGTGCCGCTGGGGCTGTGTCCCAGGATCCCCTTTCCAGACATAAGAGGCCTTTCCCAAGCATGGGGATGGAGCAGGCCTCGAGCCAGCCTGAGCCCCGGAACCGGGCCTTTAGGGTGCCCTCCTGATCCTCCGAGATCTGCCGAACCCGACTTTTCCCTTTGAGAGGTTTCATTTGAGAATCCGAAAGGCTCTGTTTTCTTGTGGGGTGTTTTTTTATTGTTGTTGTTAGTTTGTCTTTTAAGTTATTTTCTACCTCCATTTACTTCTCTGGAAAATGGAAGAACTTTTTTGGTGCACCTCACTGAGTAGATTCCCGTGTGTTTTCCCCTTTTGAGGCCCGAGTGCACTAATACTCATCTTCCCACACTGAGAAGACGGGGACCGGAAACAGACCTTCTGCCGCCTCTGGCTGGTCTGGGGGGTCAGGGTGAGAAGGGCAGGTGGGCAGTCGGTGGAGAGGCTGCCGGGCGAGGACCTGGCGGAAAGGGGACAGCCAGGTGGGCCTGCGAGGCCTGCGGGGATGAGATACAGGCTTACCTGGAAATTATTATGAAATATTTCCCCGAAAAATAACAAGATTGTTGCGTACCCAACATTCGGACATAAGCGTTTTATTATTTTGCCATCTTCGCGTTAGATTCTAAGGAGTAAGGCGCTATTCCTCTCCTCACCCGCCACTCCCACTCCCAAGGGCCTCCCTCCTTTGTGTGATAGATGGATGGTGCTTGACTGAAAACCTCTGAGGACAGTTTAGGGAGCGACTGCACTGTAGGGGGCGCTTGTGATATTACAAGGAGGCTCATAGATGATCGGGGCCCCCCCCCCCCCCCGTCCGCTCCAAACTAGTGGCAGCGCAGTGGTTTGTGTGCGTGAAGAACTCGGCGGCAGAGAGAGTGGCTGCACTTGCTAAGGAGCCCCCCGCCCGCCCGCCTGCCACGGAAACTTTGTGGCTGAGGGTTAATGTCAGTGAGATGGGTCAGCTGTGGCGGAGTCGCCTGGGCCCCCGAGGCTGGGCCTGGCGGGGGAGGAGGGTGCTCTCGGGGACCCCCGCAGCTGCTCCCTGCCCGGCCTCTGCAGCCCCGGACCCGTGTGTGCCCTCAGGTGACCCACAACCAGGAGAACGTGTTTGACCTGCAGTGGCTGGAGGTCCCGGACGTGGCCCTGGAGGAGCTGGAGGCCCTCTCTCGGAACATGGTCTTTCACCTCAGGAGGCTCATAGACGATCGAGACGAATGCAGGGAGGTGGGTTTGCGGCGGGTGGCCCAGCAACCCGGTGGGGCAGGTCAGGGAGGGGCATGGGCCCGGGGCCATGCTCCTCCTCCTGACTCTTCCTCTCAAGCCTCTCTTTCTCTCATGGTCCAGTTTCCATGGGGGCAGGACGTGGGCACTTTCCCTGCAGGGCACAGTCACCTCCCAGACACCTGTGTGAGGATCGACGTTGGGGTGGGGGCCCTGCTCCATTCACACGCCCCTTTCGGTCTCATTAAACATACCCTCGCTTTTTAAAAACGTACACCACCTTCCTCCTGCTTCCCTCCTGGTCTTGCATTATCGACTGACATCTCTTTTGCTTCCGTGTTCTGGTCCTTTTCACCAAGTTCAGGGCGGGCACTGTGCCAGGCACAGGAGCACGCCAGTGAGAGCCCTCTCTGCCCGCCGTAGCTGATCGTGGACCTGACTCAGGAGCGGGACTACCTCCAGGCGCAGCAGCCGCCCAGCCCCCTCAAGTCTTCCAGTGCCGAGTCCACACCCAGCCCGACCAGCAGCCTCTCCAGTGAGGACAAGCAGCACCTGGCCGTGGAGCTGGCGGACACCAAGGCCAGGCTGCGCCGCGTCCGGCAGGAGCTGTGAGTCCCCCGCTGACCCGTTCTCTCTGCTCTTGGTCCGTGTGTCACCAACACATTTCTAACGCCTGGTTCACTGCCATGCGATGCAGCAAACGGGGTAGCTCTGACTAGCGCCCCGGAGTGCAGGCTCTGCTCCGAGCTCGGGCCCTGTTTGACCGTGGCTAGTCCACTTTCTGCCCCGCCCCCCCCCTCCCCCGGGGCCTGCACAGGAGGGGTTCTGCTGGGCCTTTAGGGCTCCTGCCAGTCCAGACATTACAGACAGAGCAGCAGCCTGTGTTCACCCTCAGGCCCAGGGTGGGGGTTGAATGGCCACACACTGGTGTGTGTGTTCTTGGCTGGAGGGAGGATGTGTCTGCCCCGCGTGGCGAGCCTGTTCCCTCTTTCCTGCAGCTGTGATGTCACCTTGCCCAGCATCTCGGGAGCTGCCCACCTTCACCTGCCTGCCAGTGGGCCTCGCCGCCTGCCTGGCTGTGGAGGGCGCAGTGGCTCCTGGGGTCTCCTTCCCTGTCCCGCACCCTCAGAGGAAAGCTCGCTGTCTGGCGGGTGTAGTCTGAGAGCAGGCATTGAAAACTTAAAAATGACATTGGAGTCGGGAGCGATTCACAAGCCCCACATGAGACTCCCTCCTCACGCCCAGAAGCCAGGTCCCCTTTCCTTTCCCGCTATGGTCTCCCAGGGTGATGGGCTTTCCGGGTGCTTCCGAGGAAGCCCTCACCACGTCCTCCCATCACCCCAGGGAGGAGAAGACAGAGCAGCTGTCGGACACCAGGCATGAGGTGGATCAGCTGGTGCTGGAGCTGCAGAAAGTCAAGCAGGAGGTGAGTGGAAAGCCTGTTGTGTGCGGAGGGGGCGAGGGGCTAGGACGCCCAGTAACCATGGCCTGAGGTCCAGGAATGTAACCGCGGGACCTTCCAACAAAGGCCTGTTTCCTTCCCGCTCAAAGCAACGCTGCCTGAGAGCCAGTTGTCCTGAGAGTTGCTGTGGGGATGACATGTTTCAGTGGCGGCGTGTGGGGCCCCCGCAGGGGCCTGCACATGAAGCCACTCGGCCGCCAGGACCTGGCTTCTCCTGGGGCTGCAGGGACTTGGCCCCTTTCTCCCCAGCCCAGAAGGCGCCCTGAGCCAGGTCCCCTGCCTTTGCCCACCTCCCAGAACATCCAGCTGGCTGCCAGCGCCCGGTCTGCTCGCGCCTACCTCGACGAGCTGGACTCCCTGAGGGAGAAGGGGAGCCGCGTGGAGAGGCTGGAGATGGAGCTGATGCGCTTCAGGGAGAAGCTGAAGGACGCGGACTTCTACAAGGCCCGCATGGAGGTGAGCTTCTGTCCTGGAGGAGGGGGAGGAGCTGTGATGCCTCCCCAGCTGCCCTTGCACCAGGCCTGTCTGCACGACCCCTGGGCCTCCCTCTGTGAGTGGCAGGAATAGGGTTGGGAATATGGTTGAAGGGCCCTGATTCTTTTAGGATTTTTCCTTCTCTTACTTCATGCCGCAGTGATGACCTTTCTATTCACAATTCTTTTTTTATTATTATTATTAAGACTCTTGTAATTTCTGTGGCTAAATCTTGCCAGAACTGTTCCGTCATCTATAAAACAGAGATAGTTGCCCGGGCAGGGTGGGGGTGGGAGGCCGCTCTCAGCTTTGTCCTGGGAATGGTCCGCTGGCCCTGCTGGTGATGAGAGGCATCAGTCTGCAGCAGACAGGTTCCGGGACACGGCACACTCACTCACCGGAAGTGGCACAGGTGGGAGGGTCGCAGACAGTCATGTACAAGCTCCCCCAGACTGCTGCCTCCGAAGCCCTCCTGCACACCGGGACCGGACGCAGCCCCCACACCTCACCCTGGAACTGCCCCGTGGATGGGGGTGTGTTTCGGGGCCCGTGCAGGCTGCCTTACTCAGTCACACACTCACGGCAACCGAAGGCCTATGTGGCCCAAGCCCTGCGCCGGGAGCTTCCGGGCTTATGGAAGGTTTCGCACGGGAACTCCTTTTCTGTGTTCTCAGCTTCCATGCCTCTGGATGATACGGCAATGTTTTTCATAACGATTAATCATTTTGCTGTCCAATTAGTAATGCCTTAGGCCTGGTCGGTTTGGCTCAGTGGATAGAGCATCGGCCTGCGGACCAAAGGGTCCTGGGTTCGATTCGGTCAAGGGCACGTACCTCCGTTGCAGGCTCTGTGCAGGCTCCGTGCAGTTGCTTGCGTGCAGGAGGCAACCAATCGATGTGTTCCTCTCACATCGATGTTTCTCTCTGTCTTTCCCTCTCTCTTCCACTCTCCTTAAATAAAAAATCAATGGAAAAATACCCTCGGGTGAGGAATAGCAACAACAAAAACAAAAAAACAAAAGAAAATATTAGTCATGCCTTAAATTTTGCATTAGTTTAATGAGTTACAAGAGAAAGTGTGTGGTTCATGGAGCCCAGGCCAGGGTAGAGGGTGAGTCACACTGTTCTCGGGGCCCATGTGCCAGGGCCCAGGGAGCAGTGAGGACGGTGCTGCACTCACGTCCTTAGATCTCGGCGGCTCCACCAGCCGCGCAGGCCCCCGGTCAGCCCTGCTCGGCCAGCTTTCCTGTGTGCACCTCGAGCCCCCGAGGGGAGGGACAGGGTCTTCAGCGACTGCATGCCTGGGGCCTGGTGCACACAAGGCACTTGGTAGTCACCACACAAGTACAAACCCATCTCCCAGCAATGAAAACACTTGAAATCTGGGGAGAAGGACGGGGAGAAGTCACGAGGTTTTGTCTCCTTCCAAATGGTGACGCTTCGGGTGCGATGGGCAGCGGGTCAGAGAGCCGAGGACGGTTCCCCTCCACTGGGGGACCAGCCGTCAGGCCTGGCCTGTGACTTCCTGAACGTGGCCCCTCAGCTGTTCACTGGGCTGCATCTAGTCTCTAAATAGCCTCCGGTTCAGTTGGGGTCAGGCCCTTGGGGGGGGGGGGGGGGGGGGGGGGG